GGGGGGGGGCTGCTTTCATCCAGACGGAGACATTATTGAACTGCGTTTGTCACTAATGTAGCCCTGATTTCGTGTAACTGTATCAGCGTGAGTGCGGCAAACAGTCAATATGCTCCACCCGCGCGTATGATCAAACTAATTCATTAGCGCAGATTGCCGCATACTCTTCGTTGAAAGAACGCTCATTTCGTATTTAAAATAGAAGGCAACCTACGTTTGGCCGGGGAATGAATGACGGGAAGACAGCAGCAGGCAGCTGCGGTTGGGGGGGGTTTGGATGCGAGCAATCATTTGATATTTTCTGTAATTGATTTTAACGTTACAATTATTCTCTCCATTAAGCGAAGCTTTCTGAATTTGCGTCGGGGATTTATTTTTTTTTTTCCCTCCCAGCTGGTGTACAGGCGCCATGTCGGCCCAGGACCCGCTTTTCCATCGCGAGGTCCTTTCTCTGTGCTGCATTAGGGGCGGGGGGGGGGGGGGGCCCCCCCAGCTTCTTTGACTGTGCCGGTGGGGAGTTTGCTTGGGTTACACATTTCAATTTGAGCAAATGATTCCCACTGGCAAGTCCAAACTTTCTACATTCATACGCTTTGGCAGGATCTGCTGCGAAAGCGTACTCGTACCTAAAATCATCTTAAGCGGCGTAAACTCATATCAGTAATTGGGACGCATATGGGCATAACCCCCCCACAAACCAGAATACACACACACACACACACACACACACACACACACACACACACACACACACACACACACTCTTCCAATCAAAGTCAGTATAGCGCAAATCACTCATGATTGAATATCGAATGAACGAGTTACTTGATGGACAGCAGGATGTCACTGCATGTGACTTCTAGTTGAGCTCAGTTATTAGTTTGAGTCTGGGGCAACTTTGGCTCCAAGTTTATGAATAATAAGAGAAATATTTTCCCCAGGCAGCCCCAGGTGGTCCAGTGACTAGCGTGTCAACCTCACAGTGCAGAGGTGCAGGGTTCCGGCCTCCCTGTGTGGAGTTTGCATGTTCTCCCCGGGCCTGCGTGGGTTTTCTCCGGGTACTCTGGTTTCCTCCCGCGTTCCAAAAACACTCATGGCAGGTTAATGGAACGCTCTAAATTGTCCCTCGGTGTAAGTGTGAGCACGGATGGTTCTTCGTCTCTGTGTGCCCTGCGATTGGCTGGCAACCGGTTCAGGGTGTCCCCCGCCTACTGCCCGAGGACAGCTGGGATAGGCTCCAGCACCCCCCGCGACCCTTGTGAGGATAGGGTGGATCAGAAAATGAATGGTTGGGCGGCTGTTCCAATTTGAACCTCGACCAAGCGCTTTTAAAAGGCTGGGGGTGGATGAGGATTATTATATGAATACACGACAGAGAGACAATGACAGAAGGGTACCCAGGTGAGGACGGACTGGCAAAATAGGGTCAAGTGCACATCTCTGGTTAATGGCTTAAAACTGACTAGTTAGTCCCCCTAGTAGAATGACGACAACAACAGACCCCACCGTTTTGTTTTTTTGTTTTTTTCTCAAATATATAAATCCATCAGAAGCTGACATATTTAAGTTTGGGGTAAAAATCCATTGAAAATCCGCCTCGGGGTATGCTGTTGTTTACTTCAATATTTGACACTCTAACATGCCCATCCGCCGTTTTAAATGTCAGAGAATAATCAAAAGCCCAACAGGTCTCCTCCTCCTCCTCCTGATAAGCTTGACGCGTGCTTAAAAGCAATTCAAGGTGTACTTTCCCGAAACGGCGTCGCCGCGTGCGGGAGTGGCGACAGCCGAGCACGGATCAAATCAAAACCACCGCATCCATAGAATTGGGAAAACAGACCGCGGGTTTGCGGTTCATCGTCTCGGGGGCTCCGAGCGCACGTTGCGCAAATAAGATGATAATTTATTGCCGTGGCTGCGAATTGTTCAAACGTTCACGCTTTTGATCATCTGGCATTCAGGGTAAGTCGTATGTAAGCCAAGGCCCAGGACGCGTCCTACAAATGTATCTCTGCATGTTTATCCACCATAGACAAATACAAACAGGCGTCGTTGCATCCCTTCCCAGTCATCTCGTGTTACTTATTGTTCGGGTCTCTTTTTTGCAGGATTGGCTCTCATCCGCACGCCGCACACTGCGTAGATCATCGTCAAGGATCCATTTGAACTGTTTAGCTGTTGCAAAAGCAAATTACAAAATCTAAAAAAAAACAAAAAACAAACTCCACCTCCTCCAAGTAGGCGAAGCACAATTGCTGTGATTATTCTCGAGCAGCAACTTGTAATTATTAGAGTAAATCTTTTCAGCATCATCCACTTGAGAGGCATTTACGCAAGGCCTCCAGATATGAACCGCCAATCTAACGCTTTCGACGGCCAAATATACGATGATATATTTCGTTTCGAATCACTCATTTACACCGCGCGGGTATTTTGGATCTTAGTTTTGTGATCCGAACGCATTACACGCGTCCACAAGGGTGCGGACCTCCTCCTTTGAAAAGTCCGCAGCATTTTGAAGAAGAGAATTTCCAAAGCTTCACTAGAAGGAAGGTTGCAATAAAAGGCTGATAAAATATTCATCACAATTAAATCAGAGGAAAGGAAAATGAAAATTAAGATGCTATTTCTCTTTGACACGATGGAGCGCACTTTGGCAACTATATGAAATGCCCACAATTTTTTTTTTTCCCTCCATTTGATAATTTGTTTCCACTGTATGAGGAATGCTGCAGTACACATGCCAGGCCAGTAGTTGGCACTGTACCTTTGATTCAAACAGTACACAATATTTTTTTCTCTTAATGAATAAACTCATACCGAATGACTGAAATAAAGTGAACTCATGCTGTTTTCACCGTTGAACTCTGTAAAAAAAAAAAAATCTCTTTCTATTGTCACTCTGAAATCACACCGCCGCCATCTCCTCGATTGGATGTGCAGTGATCACGTCACAGCACGCAATGTTCACTTCTGCCTCTCGCCCCAAAAGTCAGCTACGATCGGCTACGCCACGTTCCGTGACCCTCGTGAGGTCGAGAGGATAGATGATCGGATGAATCGGCAAGGGTTTATTATACTGTGTCGACTACAAACAAAAGGAAATTCAAGCAGGTGAAATCTTATTACGCTCAAAACACACAAGCTATGCTTTTTAAATCAATCCTGACATGTTTTTGCTTCCGGAACTGAAGTCAATAACCCCCCGCCCCCACACCTCCCCTCACCCCCACTCCCATCCACCGCCTCCCCGCCAAAAGTGAGATGAGCCGTATGAAAAACAGCGTGGGCCTCAGTGGACGACCCGACCGCCGGCGTGAGACGACCAGCGCTGCTCAGCGACCCGAGCAGCAAAGTGGCAAAGCGGCGGAGCAGACGGCGGCGCCGGCGCGGCCCGATCAAACAGCTTGAGGACTAAAAGGCCAAGACGCGGGACACAAATTGACTCGGGGTGCGAGGGAGACCACCGCTCTCCCCAGTCGGCTAACCTTCACAGTTTATAGACTGGCAGGCGTTTTTTTGGAGGTATGCCACAGTCATTAAAAATTCAGTCACCGTTCACATACATTGATAGTCCGTGTGAGATCGTCGCCTCATAAGGCAAGGGTTGGGCTCACCTTTGCAGAGGTAGCAAGAGTACTCAGAATCTGTACTTCAGTAGAAGTAAGTCCACATATACTTGTGTGTAAAAAAAAAAAAAAAAAAAAAAAAAAAAGATTCAACACTAGACCTTAAAAAGAAAATCTTCTGATACTGAAATGTACCTCTAAGTACACATTAAAACATGGTTGCACACTTGTACACATCCTTCGAATTAATTCACATTCAAACTCATGTTCAACGGGATTCATACCTGCCCCTATTTTAAATGCCTCTGAGTAACCCCAAATAAAGTTCAGCTGTTCGTTGATGTTTTTCCCCGACTCTTAAACAGAAACCCGAAGGTGTTGCACTAACACTGACTGGAATTTGGAACTGTTCATAATTCCTTCCAACTTGTCCAAGATCCAGCTGAAGAAAAACAGCCCCAAAGCATGATGCCACAATCATGCATAGGTCAAGCGTTGTTTTGGTGATGAGCAGTGCTGTGTTTGTACCCAAAAACACCTTTTGGAATAAAGGTTAAAAAAAAATAATCATAAAAATATTTTTTTTTCCTGCTATGACAAACACTTGATCGTTTGAATTAAGGGTGTGTAGACTTTTTATAGTCACTGTATATTCAATACCTTTTAACAAATGAAACAAATTTTAATAAGCAACATCTCCGCAGCCATAATAGTTTCCTTCTTTGACGATTTACATTGCGCTCACAAGTACAGACACTTTCAAACTACAGTATTTTGTACTTTGTTACTTCCCACGAATGCACTTTTGCAACCTCCCGCACACTAGCAATGGAGTGATTTCCACACTTATTTCACTCCTGACCACTGACTGAACACCCCCAGTCCCTTTTTTTTTTTTTTTTTAAACTACACAGACACGGGCATTTCACGCACGTGCAGAATATTTACTGCCACTCCGAGAGCCGTGCTTTACATAACATTAAACCCAAGCAATATGGAAACTGCCTAATGGAGACTCATCCGTCTCCTTTTTCCCACCTCCCCACTATTTTAAGAGCGTGAGAGAGGTCCATGCGCAATTAATCTCATAAATCTAACAAGCTTACGATCTTTTTTTTTTTTTTTTTTTTCATTTTAACGACGCATGATGTGGAATTAATGGTGCACTGCACTTAAAGAAAAAAAAAATGTTTACACGTGCCTGCGCTAATTAGCAACGGAGCCATTTGCAATGTAAATAGCGCGCACTCGCGGGCGCCGCGTTTAAAACGTCAGCCGGGGCGAACGCCACAAAATAAAGCGCTAATGTGCTCGCGCAGACATCTAAATAAGACCTGCCGAGAGAACATAATCTTCCCCTGCCATGTTGCCTCATATATTGTGATGCCTCGCCTTGTTTGTTTTGTGCTCGGCTGGCTGCTTTCAAAAGGGAAATGATGGCGATATTTTCTCGTCAAGCCTAATGACCGCCCATTTGGAAATCTTAAAAGTCTTCGAGACGGCCACGCGGTGCATTCAGATAAGCTGCGGGCTCGGGCAGGCTTTATTCTTCAGGACAAAACACTTTTTCACGCAACACAAGTGCAAAACAAATGGAGTATTGATGAAACCTCCGCCACCGAGCAATGAGGAAAGACATATCGCGCATTTGAAACATTCATAAGGCTGCGCCGTGATTTTCGTCTCACTAGCGCAGCAATCATGGTACACTCCGCACCCTATTTCTTCCATCCATCCATTTTCTGATCCGCTTTATCCTCACAAGGGTCGCAGGGGGTGCTGAACACTCTAAATTGTCCCTAAGTGTGAGTGTGAGTGCGGATGGTTGTTCTTCTCTGTGTGCCCTTCGATTGGCTGGCAACCGGTTCAGGGTGTCCCCCACCGACTGCCCGAAGACCGCTGGGATAGGCTCCGGCACCCACCGCGACCCTTCTGAGGATAAAGCGGATTGGAAAATGGATGGATGGGTGGAATCTGCTGCACTTGGTTGTTTGCTTACATACTGAGTGGGAGGGCAGGCCCTCCACAGACCCAACTAACTGTGAGCAAGTCATTATAATGTCAATTTTTCCATAAAATGTCTCCATTAAGTCCAAAACATATCGGAAAACATGCCTCGAAATTACCGTGCCGCCGGCCATGGCATTACAAAGTCCTGATCGTGACCAATCAGCTCCCAGCATGCCACTTGTGCTCTTCCAAGTATGTTTTGTGTGATTAATCCATTTTGAAGAGAAAAGGAAGCGAGTCATAAGATTAAATGGCTTGTCGACCTCCTGAGCCACCGAGATGGCTTTACCTCCGCAGATGAAACCACTAGAAGTCCAATTTGACAATCCCGCAGCCTAATTGCTCCCAGAAAATGGACCAAACCCAACAGAGGATTGCTTTCTGATCATTTTGCGTTCTTTGAGGACAGCGGTGGCGGTACATTTTTTTTTGTTCTCTGCGGCGCCCGGAGAAAAAAACAATGAAGGTAGCAGAACTGTAAGCGCCAAAAAAGAACAATTATGAGGCAAAAAATAAAAATAAAAAGTATTGTTAAAAGAACCTTTTGAGAAAAAAAAATAAGAGGAACAAATTTGGCAAAAAAATGGTATAAAAATTTATATTTATATATATATTTCCCTTGAATTCAGGTTTTTGAACATTATTATAATTACGGTTATACTTATCACATGTAATTTTTTTTCAGTCTAGCCTTAATAATTCGAAACGATTCCTGCCTATTGCAATCCAGTGGCGCACCGACACGTCAATGGGATGACCAAGTTTGTCGCAGCCGCTTTCGGAGGATGAGAGCAGCCAATCCATTAATTGAACTTGGTGAAGCAATTATGAAATATGCATGTGGAACTTATTGCGTCAGTGGCATAAAAGTCTATTATTGTCCCGGCTGCTGGTTTTAGCATTGACGTTTTTAATTGGTGATTCTTGGCGCTCCTTTTGCGACGGGGTGGTGGCAGCGGAAATACACTGGGAAAGTTTCTAGGACATCTCTGAAAGAACGTTCACTTCTAAGCCGGTCACGTATACAAGTGCCTGCGCACACACACACACACACATGAAAATATGTTTCCAGCACTTACGAGGACTTATAGCATGTTGATTTAAATTCTTTTCTTGCCCGAAAAGTAAATGCACCTTGTTTTACAACGAGCCTTTGCGACAAAGTGACAATTTATGTCTCATAAAGCGGACTTTTTGTCCTCAAAAAAAAGAGGTGAGTCCCCACAATGCGCCTGTGTAAACACTTTAATGTTCCCACTGCATAAGAAATAGCTGCGGCGAGCTCAACGCGAGCAGAGTTATTGAAATGAAGCCGAGTGAGGGAGCTCGGCGACGCCGTTGATTAAACATTAAGGAAGAGATAGAATGCCATTTTACCATTGTGAGTTATCCCGGCCCTTTGTGCTATCATTTCATCTTTGCCCTTGAACTCAAAACGCATGGCTGTCTGACAGGATGGAAGGAATAATGAGAATGAATTATGGATATGTCGCAACTTGAATTTGTCTTCATTCCAACTTCAGGAAAGTTGAGCTGGAGGACCCGCGAGTGTTATCGCGCACCTGACAGGAAACCTTACCAAAGTCCGGGCCTTGAGAGCCCCTTATCCAGCCTGGTTTTGACGTTTCCCTGCGCCAACACACCTGATTCAAAGCTTGCTGATGAATCAAGTGTGTTGGAGGAGTGAAACATCGAAAACAGGAAGGATAGCGGCTCTCGAGGACTGGACTTGGACACGCCTGCCTTACCACTTGTTACATGGGCTAACGTGAGCCTCGGTCTTTCGGCCTACACATGACTTTAGAATCCACAGGACCCTGATCCTGCTCAAAGCTACTCACATAACCGGTAATCGTGACTGAATTTGGCCATTTTGAACCACCTAAAAATCAAAGTCTATTACAGGCTGCCTCTGAAAGGTGTACCGAAGCGACTATCTTGTGGTGCTGGGGTGTGTTAAGCCGCGGTACTGTAGCTAGCCGGTGCTAATCACAGGTGGGTAGAGTAGCCAAAAATTGGACTCAAGTCAGAGAAAAATCCCTTTAGAATAATGGATTACTTGCATCCGGTTCATAACGTAGCAGTACCGGATCGGTACTTAGGATCTCACGAGTTATCAGCAAATTAGTTTCACGGTTAGCATCCTGTGCCGTTCAAACGAGCGGGAAGAAAAACTCAAGTGCTTCAACTGGCAGAAAAGTGAGCAAATGTAATGGTGAGAAATCGTTTTAGTCCATAAAACAGAGGGTGGCTGGAATAAGAATCGGTATGTGCCGCTTTGTACCAGATTGAGTCGCCATAAGAGCGAAATTAGCTTCCATCCCATTAGCGCCGTGTGTTCAACTCAACTTTATTCATCCAGCGCTTTCAAAACAACCGTATCTGCATACAAAGTGCTGTACTTCGTGTCAAAATCCGACATATAAAAATAGAATTCCCCCCCCACCCCATGAAGACAGTAAAGAAAATAAAATGCCAAGTCTGCTGAGTTCAGGTGAGGTGATGTCAGAAGGGCAACAAATGACATGTTCCATTCAAACAATGACATTTGTGACCAAAACCTACGCTCAGCGGAACACTGAATTTGATCCTTGCCAAACTGTCTGCTATATACCTCCGTGTGCTGAATATCAACAAACTCTGCTCCTTTGTATCCAGCCGATCCAATTTGCTC